ATACACACACAACCATGCGATGTGCTGCGGACAAGACCGAACAAAGGATCAGGATTAGGGAAGGCGAAGAGCACGAAATGAAATACAAAAAAAGAATCGGAAAAAGTGTGTGTATGTGTTGAACAGGTGGAAGGAAACTGTTGATGTAAGAAATTTTTTAAAAGAAGATTTTTGGAAATATGTTAATCGTTCACGACATCGGTGTGCCGAAATCGCGAGGCAACGGCACATAACGAAAACTTCAAGATGAATAAAGTAGAAGACAGGAGACTGAAGTTTTTGGTAACGATGACACTGCTCTCTATTTTTCTGTAGGTGACCCCATAATAGCACGAATAACAAGTACCAGTGTTTGAGTTGGCGAGCTTCTTATTGGCTGTGAACGATGAATCTAATTTGCAATCAATACTTTTAAAAGCCGAAAAGAGCAACAGGGAAAATACATCGGCGAGTGCGTGTTAGAGATAGGGTAAGACGTGTCGAACTTACGTCGTATAAGTTATTTGATGCTAATTATTCTTAATCTTAAAATTAAGAGGAGTCGATGAACATGGTGACATGTCCACTGTATGTCATATCTATATGTCTATATGTAGTTACAATTATTATTAGTTACAGAAATTATTATATATCAGTATGTTGGCAGTACAATGAGGGTAGCAGTGATTGTTAGGACAAAGCGAAAAGAAGGTAACTGATCTTTCGGCTGCTAATAATGGAGAGCGAGGAAAGTTAGGAAGGAGGAGAAGTGACAACGCCTGCAACGATGTACAGGCTTTCCGCCCCAGCAAGAATCAATAGCCAAGAGCAACCGATTTGTTTCAGTAAAATGATGATATGCACATAGACCTAATGATCAGCAAAATTTTTCACACGTTCATACAGACCTATGATCATATGCTTCATCGTCGAGACGATATGAATATTCCGTTGTGTTGGGCATGTTATGCTGGCCGGCCTAATTGTAGGCTTCAGCAAGGCTGTCACTATATTGGTTACTTTGCTAAGGTTCTCCACCTCGTGACGCGCGACGTTACTATCACGCCTTACATTTCATGTGTCGCATCCGTCAGACAAACTCCCACTCAGACATACATACGCACGAACACTCAACAGGCCGATCCGGACACTGAAAAATTAATAGCAATGAACGGGCTATAAAGGAAAATTGAGCCGAAAACGAAAAAAAAAAAACGGGCAGGAATCTTATTAACTAAGCCAGAACAACGAATTCTGCTCTTCGCGCCGCGGCCCGCGACGGTAAACAACGACACGATGAAACGAAGAAATTTACACCAAACATTTGAAATATAACCACTCGATGGAAAACAGGATGCCCAGGTTTGTCGGAAGCGGGCAGCGCTCATCAGCGGCAGTACTGTGGGTGATTATACTGTAGCCAAAATATATATATAGTTGGGTTCTTACCTATACTTACAACAATCAGTAAAAATAATATAACCAAACGCAATGCAACAGTGGCTATAATGAGCAGCACAATCGCCTTTCATCACGACGACGATAATGCTGATGATGACGAGGATAACAATGGTAATAATAATGATATATATGAATGAGCCTCTTAGCTACTACTTCATGTTATATATACAAAAATATATCTATATATAAGGATAAGACTACCAACTTATCTGTTGTTAAGCTAGGGCCCATAGAAGGTTCACCCCGTATGATAACAATAAATAATATTGACGATGATGATCACTTGAAGGAGAATGTAGGGCCGAAAGCGACTGAAGAATGATGATATAGTGATGATAACACTTTTAAAAAGAGAACGATACACTAAGTGTAAGAGCAGTGTAAGAAACAGACAAATCTGGGGCGGGAGAATGTCAGACGTAAATGACAAGAACAGGGCACATTAATAACCTACTATCGAAACCGAAAGAAAGAGCGCGTAAGAAACAATAATAATTAAAATACTATGATACCATAGGAGCAGAAGAATACGAGAGTAAGGAAGGAAGCATATGGAGTGATAATCCTATGAAAGCATTAGAATGGAACGGGTTAGACGTACATTCACAAACAATAAGCGTCGTATGTGAAGAAAACAGTTGTTGCCATGATTGACCTTTGGAGGAGATTCGAGATTAATGAATTTTGCTAATGAAACAATAAAAAATGACAACGCTTACCTAACCCGCAGCAGCTGTCACAGTGGCTGTCCTAGAGGAGATCGAGGCGGAAGCATCGAGGGCTCAAGATCGGGGGCGGAGAAATGAAGCTCCAAAGATAGAAGGCGTGTGTGTTTGACGATTGCGCTATCGGGCGTTAAATGTACGTTTTACAGTTGGTAGTTTTCGTTGGGGCTGACTGAATGGAGCTGACTTCTATATGAAATAGATCTCACATAGCTTTGAATTAGTCAAAAGGCGTACCGTCAACTTATGCAGATGAATATCGCCGTGGTAAAAACAAGCCGATCAATAACTGTCAAGTAATAGCGACAAATGATATTTTGCTTGCAAGCCACAATCGAGTCATACAATTTGTATTACCAAGGGGAAAATTCGTTTCTTTTCGGTATCATGAATGAAATCGTCTATTTCATTGAGCCCTAATAGGGTGTGTTTATTGTTCTGTTTGTTGTACGTGAAAGTTAGCAGATAAGTGTACCTTATTGCCAAAATAAGAGTATATACTTTGTTCGCATGTAATACTGTTACTAAATGTTTATTCTATAGTGATATATCGTGAGCATTCAAGGGAATCTCAGAAGGACAAATTTGAAGACGGCTGCTGTGGTCATAATCGCTCTCGACTGCTGTGACGTACTACCGCGAACTATATTACTTTCGATGCGAGACAACAGAGACAACTACGACTGCAACATCAAACATAAGTACACCAATACAAATAAATATTATGTATGTACAGAATAAAAACGATGCTTAGTTAATAAAATCTGCTCATCCTTTTAAATAGTTAAAATATAATCGTACACAAAAGTACCAGTGTTTACGTTCGTTGAATAGATATGAAGAAAAACAGGCCAGGGTCAACGTTCAGACCATTTCGAAGTGGCTTCTTCCCAAAAGCTCTAGAGACGAAAGTATAGAGACGAGGTCTCGAGGGTAAGCCATACTGTTCAGTGCTTTGAAGCTTCTTTTCCAATTGGGAAGATCCCGTGCGATTCCGGTGACTCGTACGCCCGTCGCTGTGGCACGTAGGAATATGTCATGCAAATTATGCGACATACTTTCCACAATTGGTCCAATAGGGATCAAAATAATCTGTTTCAATGCGTATTCCATACTACGTTGATACATACCGAGCGTGTCATTTCCCACGTCAATTTTCAGCGATATTTGTTATACCTAATTTGCGGCAGTAAGCGGTCAGTCATTGATTGCTTCATCAATTGCTTCTACTTCTGTTTCTCAGGAAAGTTTTTTTCTATTGGCTCATTGCTTTTCTTCAGAAGTATATGCGCATTGATAATATTATATATATGGAATATATATAATAATATTATATATATTCCATAATAGTAAGATAATAAAAATCTATGAAACTTCAACTTTGGATAAGGTTTGATATGAAAGCGACTAAAAAGCTTGCGTGCTTTTGTTATGGTGAACTGTACTTGAACAGTATTTCTTGGAACCCTTGAGCCTATATTATTGTTCTCAATACACACTCTGCGGACGCTTGTTTTCGAATACGTGAAATTTAACAAAATAAAAAACTGAAGTTTATTTTTTTAAGATTACCTGCCTTTCGAGCATCCCATTGATATCATTACATATTAAAAAAAAAAAAATATATAAAAAAAATATATTGTACAAAGGAAAAAAGCCTTTGTTGAAGGCAAATGTTGTCGCGTCTCATTTGGCTCTTCTTGCACTGTAGCTTGTTTGCAGTCATTAGACAGGCGGTTATGTCCATGTGATTATTTAGTACAATCATATACCTTTGGGCAACAGTAAAGAATTCATAGATTTCAATATCGCTCCGTTTTTTACGAGCCAACTAACGTAAGTTGTTGACCTAATTTCTAGGTTACTTTTTTTATCACGTCCTGTCTCTATGTATTTCGCCAAGCTTACGATGTTGTGAGCCACCAGACGTATTTTTAAGGGAATCCCCGACGCATCCCACTTTGCTGTGTCCCAGCGAATATTTTTTGATAGCTTGTTCACCGTGTTTGCCCTCCCTTTATATCCTGACAGATCTTCTCCGCTTTCTCGCTCCGAAGCTGGACCAGGGAATTGTGGGGAAGGGACTGTTTGCCCAATTATTTCGAACGTCGCCCCTGAGAGAGCTAGTTCTCAATCCGCTAAAAAAAACACTCGTTTCTCAATTGGCTGGGTAGCATCTTCATTGTGCAACTTGGACTATCTGTTAAATTTTGGTTTCCTGCGTAAATCTATTGCAGTCAGCGATTGCATGACCGAACGCGAGTCCTGCCATCGTCCGCCGGTACTAACAGCTGTGGGCAGTGCTTCGACGTCAGCATTCGTCCAGGCAGCCAAACCCGAGAAGGGTCTCGACGCCGGCGACGAACAAAACCAGTCGAGAAACTTCTATCCAACAAACAACCGAATTTCGTTCTTGTGCAGTGCAGAAGAGTCTCAGTCATCGCGTCTTTACGGAGGCGAAATGTGTCGTCCTCACCTCACCCCATTACATGGTGAGGTGGAGGTCATCGAACAATTCAATGTTCAATTGCAGAAGCGACTGGCGGCTAGTATTTCACGTTGGTTCCGCGATGAGAGGTTAACGGCTGCAGCGGCCGCTTCCGTACGTAGCAGCCTCCGTAATCGAAGTAAGCTCAAAGAACAGGATATGTGGACGTGTTGCTATTGTAACTACTCAACGGTGAGTCCCCGTGAGCGTCGTTTTCATCTGCTGGTGCAC